CAGAGCCAAATTTTGGCTTTTATATATCTTTCTTGATATTCTACGGGGTTGCTAGGTTATATATATATATATATATATATATATATATATATATATATATATATATATAACCTAGCAACCCCGTAGAATATCAAGAAAGATATATAAAAGCCAAAATTTGGCTCTGTTTCCATGAAAACAAATATAATTAACATAACTTCCCTGCTGACATACACGATATATAGTTACACATTTATATCGATATTCGGGGTATGTTATACGATAGTGTGACTTCCGTGTATACACACTTTTTTTATGTATATATATATAATTTATCATACAAATACGCACACACGTTTGCCCAAAGTGTTATCTCGGATCGACCGTTCCATGCGTATGACGTTTTGTTTCAGTCTTTATAACAACGTATAATTTACTTGTTCGCAAAACATCGATATGCATAATGGCCGATACGAGAGATATCACTTGTGGTTTAACATTTTCATAGTATTTCGTAAAGCGTACCTTAACCGCCAACGAATCTCGAAGATATAATCTCGAAGGATAATTTTTTTTTTATATATAAGAAAGAGAAAGCAGAAAAGATTTTTAACATGAAAATATACATGCAGCTCATACGACTGAGAAATCGCTCGTTTTCTCGTTAGTCGGATCTTATTGTCGGTTAATGTTCGATTCACAAAATGTTGCTTATATAATATACGTACATAAGGATCTCAAGGAGTTTTAGAGATTTTCGAAACATTTCCCATTTTTGGTGTGAACGTTGCCAAAGTTTATGTCTTTACGACTGGCATTCGTTTCTTTTCGCCCAAAGGGAGAAATCAACGTTACAAAGTGCAGGAAATATCTCGAAAATCTCGACGGCTCCGTTAGGTGTGCCTGCGTATAGTTCTTTCGAAATTATCCTAACTTAGAATTTTTTTTCACAAAGTTAAGTCACACTGAGTATCTATTTGTCTTGTGCCTCGAGTAGTAGTGAGTTTCCTTATAGAAGCGTGAGATGAGAAGGCGATTTTTGTATTCCCGATTCTGACAGTAGATAATCTCGCTACTATAATCTCTTTATATGTATATATAATTTGCTATTAATTCCACACCCTTTCGCCTCCCAACAATATTATACAGTTGTCATAACGTATATCTTATACGTACAATCAAAGTATATACGCGATAGAGACAATTCGATAGATTCTAATGAGAAAAGGTCAAGTAGATAGTCATAGTTATAACAATCAACAATTCACTAGAAAAAAAAAAAGAAAAGGAACACGAATGTGAACAGTAAATCCCACGAAGGAGCATATAGAATATTTACAGATGACAATCGTCTTTAACCGTTAATTTACGTTCTCTTTTAAATTATCGGCAAACGTAACGCAAATTATTCTATTCGCGATTTGCATATTTGCATCGCGTTAATTTAATCCTTTTAGGCCTCCCAGACGTCATTATCGTTAATTTCAAACGTGTCTGGGACACAGAATAACTTCTTCAACATGAAAGAGAGATGACAATCGTTTTGTCGCCGTGCAAACACGTGGTCGTCTTGGCTTATCGAGTTTTGCTTATTTACGTGAATGCAATTTGAGATTCGCTGACCTTCGATAATCGCGAAAGTAAAATAATTCTACACCCGCATATGCATGACGCAATAGTTGATATATCGCGTTAACATTTATAAATCCGTAATATACACGCTAATACGAAATAATAATCGTGTAACGTGTATATGTAATTTGTATTATGATTGTTGGTTATATAATTATGATGTAATTTGTAAGGCGCAAAAAGTACGATCGGTTGCTTGATGTAGTTTGACAATATGGAAGTAATTAAAGAAAGTTCAATGGTTTAGAGGCGTACAGTACAGTAGTTCTAAACGAAGACAGGTCAGTTCTCTCTGAAAGCGTCTTGTTATCCCACGACTCTCTCGATATATGCATAGTTTTACATTCAATATAATCTTGCTTAAAAAATGATGGATAAAAAATGGTAAAACACACGTTGGTTTTCCTTTCCGATGATGATCTTGAAATTCTCTTCCTCAGAACGCATTTGAGAAATTTTAATAGTAAACTGTATCATGGATTATCATATCCTTAGTAAATACAAACTACTTATCAAGGACTTACAAAGAGAAACAATTTACAAATGGTAATTCAGAATGCAATTGATGAATGAGATTTCTTAAATACGTCTTGAAGAAGGGGATGCAAAACTACCATTGAGAGAGGAAAGTCAGCATTTTTTTATCATTTTCAATTCATTTTGAGCAGAAAATGCTTGTTCAGATTCATAGATTCCACATTACTTGAGTTATTGGGTTATTTTCGCTACTTAATCGTGCGTACGGAAAGGTAAAGAGGAAAGACCGCCAGTTAGAAACGTAAAGAGCGTGCGCATAAAGTTAGGACATCAGGAAATCTGTCGATAGGCACTTTCGATCAATCGCATCAACGTCTAGTTTAGTCTTACCACTAATTCCCCGATGCTCTAAACTAATTCTGGACACCGATTGAAGGGGTGATTCAGAGGTAAGGACGAGCAAGCAACACACGAGAGATCAAATCGTAAGATGAGCAAGCCAGAGGACGGTGATAAGGCTGTCGTAATAAGACTTAAATAGATCTACTGAGTAGGGCATTGAAAAGGAAGCGTCGGTTTACTTTCCGCTCATCAGCAGTTATTTTATCACATCATCTCTCGACACTCCCTGTAACGGCGGCTTAACCCTTAAGCACTGACAGGAGTCTGATAGATTCCCAATGAAATAAAAAAACTTATTGCTGTTTCACTCCCGCTTAAGCGTGTACACATCGCGTCTGTCTATCTTTTCTTTGGCCCGTAAGAAAAGAAGTGGCGACAAGGAAATACGTTTCGCACACTTTCTCAAGTAATTATCAACCTTCGAAATATTTTTATAGGTCTGTATCAGTGCTTAAGGATTAAAGACGACACGCATACGTGCACGCACGCACACCCGCATGCGTGCTCCGTGTGTGTGTGCACGCGCGCGCGTATACTGTGTGTATTTATGTATTTATATAATTTTATTATTTATCTCATAGTATAGAGTGTGTGTCGTCACTCGTCCTATCTATCTCTCTCTTTCTCTCACTCTCTCTTTCTCTCCTTCTCTTTCTTTCCCGCGATCGTCCGCATTTCGAAATGCCGATCGTATGTAACAAACTTTGTAGATCGAGTCGTTACCAGTCGTAGTCGTGTTGATGAAAGGGATTGGTGCATGGTTGTTGGGCGTGTAGGTGGATAGTCGGTTTTACGAGATCGAATTCCCTACCCACCACTTCACTGTAGATCTATTAAACAGGAAAGTGTCGTTAATTCTCACGTCAAGTGCGACATATGCTATGGGATTCTGTTTTCTTTTGTCTCTTTTCACTTAATGTTCGTGGCTAAGTATAGATAGGATTTCTCGCGTTCAGTGAGCATATTTGCTCTTTACGGAAGGTGCAAGAAACGAAGCCGGAAGTTTCGTCTCTCCCGTTATCTTTCTCTCTCTTTTTTCCTTCTTTTTTTTTTTGTTGCTTTTTTTTCTTTTTACCGACAGAAATATCGCGTCCTCCTGCTGGACGTTTTAATTAGAATGGTTTTACTGAACCTGGAAGCTCCTACGAATATACTCGTCCTCTCCCTTGCCAGTCATACCATAATTATATCCACCTTCGCCGCCACCGCCGCCGCTGCTCAAGAATGGATTCGTTGGGTTGCCAGGACCTGCGAATAATTGGTAGATTATAACGGAATGCTAGAAAAGTAACCAAAGAAATTCTGTGCTTTTGTAACGTGGGTTAGCCCTTTAGAAGAAATCACGTAGGAGCGATTTTCAAATAATTTCCGATTTAGTTCAAATTTAGATTTTGAATTTAAGCTGTGTTCAGACACACACATATATTGCTGGAACATTGTGAACTTAAATCTAAGTTTAAACTACTACTGAAAAATTAGCTCTCAGGGACGCATTCTATTTTCATATCGCGAGATAGTAGTATTTAAATCCGTGACGAAACGAAAATCAATTGTCTCTATTGGTCACATAACGTGTTACACGTACTAGAAATTAATCAAGAAAATACTTAATAGCTTCACACGACAAAAAATCGTTCTTTTTACCGATTTTTTTGTCATCTTTGTCTTTTTGTGTGCATATATTCCAACTGTAGTATTCACATGGTATTCACAGGAACTAGTTGACGCCAATTCGACAAAATTACCGATACGGTAAGAAAACCGTAACATGTGAACGGGCTGTAAGGCCCGGTATTAATAGTCGTTACTTGAAACTCGTCTCACGTGCTCAGATCTAAATTTAAAGTTAGATTTGAGTTTTTTTATTTGAATCATATCATATATGTGACATCACATTTGTGATCGCGATTTAGTTGAAAAACTCACATCTAACTCACATCTAACTCACATCCAAATAAAAATCTGAATATTTCTGAAGTAATTTTCAAGTAATGGCTACTAATACAGATCTAAATTCAAAACTGAGTATCTCGCCTGAGGCAAAAATTTCGAGTAATGATTACTAATACAATTAAGTCAATCATTACTTTCATCAACATTTACGTTTAGTTTGGATAATGCGGCGAGATCCATCGCCCCCGTAACCGACGAAATATACGCTCTTTTGAGCTCGCAGAAATGTCTCCACTTATAAGCCTTGAAAAATGGTGGAGAGCTCACCTCCATTAGCGCCAGGTACAGCCAGATTTCCACCACTGGTCTGATAAGTGGCACCATAACCAGCATCTTGATTAGCTAGCTCGTGCAAACGACTGGAACTAAGCGCTCTGGGTATAGCATTGCTCGGCACGCCGTGCGGTGCAAGATGGGTAGCCTCGGCTACTTGATGCGGATCTTCCGTCTGTGGTAGCTCGGACACGAAACCGGTATCCTTCCTGTAGAAATTGATGAAGACGAAGATCGCCAGGACGATGATGCAAATAAGACCGTATGCCCGGAACGTCGTGGTCGTGCCTGCACATTGAACATCGATATGATCGTAAACATCAAATGCATCGCAACATGATAATCTTGTGAACACACAATCGACACCTAAAGATTTCTGCGGATTTCACAACTCGAATGTTTCGAGCTAATTTTTTTTACATACAAATTGCGATTGCCTATTTGTCTTCTTTAGTGTCCTTGCTTTTCAAGTTCGATCACGTTTCAGATGTAAATGGTTTGAGTACTTTTGATTCTTGCATCGTCAATCTTCTTTATTCACACAGAGTTTGTTTGAGCCAAGTGATAAAAGTCACATCTGTTTGCGCGAAAATTATCTAAATTTTAATATTTTGATATATCATGAAAAATATACCGTAGGCTGCGACGAACATGCCACCGATCACCGCGCCGCAACCCCTTCCAAGCCCGTGATGAAGTCCCTGAAGAACACCCTGCGCGCTGGAGCGCAATTGCGGCGGTGTATTATGAGCGATATAACTGCAGCAAGCGGCCCACACGGCCGCATGCGTGATACCCTGGATAAACTCGAAAGGAAGGACCCACCACGGATTCCTCAGCCAAGATATGTAAAGAAACCGAAGTATGTTTCCACCCAAACCCAGGCACAATACCTGGAATAAGTGCGCACGGTGATTCTCGAGAAGGACGCGCGATGAAGTGCAAAGAGCGTCCGACGCGTTATTATTCAATTCGTTTACCTTAACGTGGCCGATCTGTCGGATAAGCTTGAAGCTGAAAAAATACGCGAAGATCTCGGAGATGTGATTGATCACGGACGCGACGCCGAAGAGGGTCGGGGAGCCGCCGTAATCCTGAAGATGCCAGAAGAGAAAAGTGAAGATCAGTCCGATGCCGAATCCCATGAACCACGCGACGAAGAGGAACGAGGCGCACTTGAGATCTTTGAATTGCTTCAACACCGTTATCCACTCCGGTATCTCTTTTGTCGTTTGAGCAAACATTTTCGTCTGAAACAGAGAAATTGATTGGAATGAGTTTATACATGTCGCATGAACAGCAAGAAAGAAGGAAGAGTAGAAGAGACACAAAGCTAGGTGATAGACATTGGCTTGGTAAAAGGAAAAAAGAAATGAATACCTTCCCCTCGGGAGGTTGAGGCTTAAGATCTACAGCAGCTGACGAGTCCTGGAGCCCAGGCAGGTTCAGCTGCTGAGACAACTGATTTTGCAGTTGTTCTTCCCGCGTCAGTTCGGCCGGAGGTTTCACCACTTCCTACGTGTGAAGACAGACGTGCAAAATTACGACACCGCCACGTGAAACACGCGGAGGAATAACTTAATTGTGATGGATGTTAATGAACTTACCGGTTCGGCGGGCATAAAGTCATACTTGAAATTAATTTGCGTCGCGGTTATTAGCGCAGCACCCATTAGCACGCTGAATATCGCGAAACAAATCGTGTAATTTTTCTCCCTTGCGTCAGGCTTGCAAGGGTGGTCCGGGAACGCGGTGCTGTGATCGAGGGCGATCCCGACGAAGAACATGGCCAAACCCCATCCGAGACTTCCGAACATGCGTTGATGGCCATATCTGAGATTTACGGATTTTTCTTAGAAATTCTCTTCACAAATGATAATTGAAAAATACTAAAGTAAAACACATTTCGGCATTACCTATCGGCGTCTTCGCCCAACAAGGTGATAACGGCCGAGTCGGCTAAAGTTATAGCGGGTGCCGAAAAAAATTCACCAACTATGACCAGCAGTAGCAGGAGGAAGAATGTTTTTTGAATGTCCTGAAATCACATTTGATCGTCATATAGTGCATATTTTGATAGACGCGACGTAATGACACTCAAGTCAAAAGTGAACAACCGTAAGATCTGTCTACAAATTTTTCTGTATCTACACTGAGAGGAAAAATACCAAAAAATATTTATTCACTGAGTACTGGTAGTAACATATGTATTTAAATCTCTCTAAATTATTTTCTTTAAATAAAATAAACAATTATTTTCATGAAAAGTCAAGGTTTCAAGAAAATATATATTTTCTTATGCGAAAAATATTTTATCTTAGCATAAAAAAATATATTATTAATATCTACCGAATATTTTTTTTACTTCTTGAATATTTTTCTCTCCTAGTGTCTGTATTATCTAAATTTTTTAGAGTGAAATTTTACTAAAAAAAACAGAGTAACTACCAAGTCGCTCGAATTGGAGTGAGATTTCACTCCAGCAAATTTAGAGAGCGTAATATTGACTTCAAACTTCAAAATTACATCTCGTGTGAGAATTGCGAAAATCTGTGGACTCACCGGCAATCTGTAAACTATGGAGCTGAAGATCGGCTTGACCCACCCCTTGTTCTCATTCGCGTCATAATTGGCCGCGTTAGTAACCGATACCGGTGACAACGGGTACTCTTCAATCTTCGCGTTTCTGCGAGTTCTCCTCAGGAGCATACCCGCGCTTCTCTCGTCCTCCTCCTCGTCATCATCGTCAACCCGGACCATGTCGTTCTCCTCCAAAAACGTCAGCTTCTTCTCCACTTCTCGTTTCACCATTATTTTCGCCGGCGGTGGCTTGACGCGTGTCTTGGTACGCACATAAGCCTTTTTCGGTACCGTTCTGTCGGTGAAAGGTTCATTCTGCGAAACAGACAAGTTTATACACGTCGTTATATGATTCTCGCACAGAGCACAGGCTGAAAGAAAACTTGTTGTCTGTAAAAATATATCGTAAAATAAGGATTACGCTACGGAAAACTTTTGAGATCGTATACAAGATCTAATCGAGGCTCTCTTAACTTTCTCTCGCTCGTTGCGATCGCTACATCATGAGAAAAAATATCTAAAAATTGGTAAATTTTAATTCGGTGGGTGTACCGACAGCACATTTACTTAGAAATCCACATTCTTTTATTTAAATAAAATTAATAATTGCTTTCATGAAAAACACTAAAATCTTCTGAAGGAAATCTTCTTGAAGAAAGTATATTTTCTTATTTGAAAAATATTTTATATTAGCATAATTAAATATGCTGTTAGTATCCATCAAATGTTCACTAATTTTCAGATATTTTTCCTCTTAGTGTGAGTGTCGAGGGTAAAAGACACGAGGGTGCGCGCACCTTCATGAAACGTTTGTACTCCAGAACGTCGGCCGGGCGATTTTTCTCCTGCAACGCCTCCAAGTCGATTGTCTTCGCGTCCGAGTCGTTGTTTTCGAACACTAACTGTTTATACCTGAGATCTTCGACGTTGCTCTCATCCGTGGTGGCTGCTTGTCTTCTGACACGGTTGTTCTTCAAGTCATAAGCGACGTTATCGAAGGCCCGAACACCGTTTCCCTCGATGTCGTAAGAAGTTTCGAGCATACCAACTTCCCTCAGCGGGTCCAGCCTCTTTGCGTGATCGTATATTTCGTTATCGTCCGTACTTCGTCGTAACCTCTCGAACACAACGTTGGACGCGACCTCCTCCTCCTCCTCCTCGGGTGCAGAATAATATAGTTCGTCCAGGTCGGCCGAGCGCTTCACAATTCTCTGTTCTATATTGGACGCCTGGAGGTAAAAGGTCTTGTTCTCGATGACCAGGCAGGAAGTCGGCGGAGGCTGAATAAAGCCCAACGGTAGAGTGAAGATAATCCAGCAGGAGAGAGAAGCCAACAGAATGAGCTTGCCCTTCTGCCACCTGCGAGTAATAAACAGTAACAAGCAACTCATAAAAGCATTTCAGGTGAAGTTTCTCAAGTCGAAGATTCAATAACTTCAAGCTCGAATAATTAAAATAAGAAGGTTGGGTAAACAACTCAAGCTTAATAATTAAAACGAGATCGCCATCGTTATGAAATTGTGAGTTAAGGAGATCAAAGACCGTATTATTGACGCGAATTCTAACACCAAGTGCGCCTTTCTGATTCCGAATCTCATATATTTCGTATAAGAAAAACAGAACTTAGGATGAAAAGGGCGTATTTAGCGCCCGAAATGAGCCTCGAAATGAACCGAAAAAAATACAGTCCCTGCAGTGCAATTCTGTAACTCGTTAACTGTTGTTAACGTTGCGCAGATATAGTATGTGCTTGAAAAGGTGCACAACGACACATAGTGCTAGTGACATTGTCGTTAACAACAGTTAACGAGTTACAGAATCGCAATCCTACATCGTTATGTTGTCCATTAAAACTATCCGCTGCCGTATAAAAGCCTCTTAATTTCACGAGAACGCGTGTGAGTTTCGATCGATGTCTGATTAGCGATTAGGAAAAGAAAGCCGACAACATAGTGTCACCTGTCGGCCAGGGATCCCCAGAAAGGAGCGCTCAGGAACTCGATGAAGGGCCTGAGACCGATCAGGAGGCCGCACTGTCCGGCGTTCATTCCCATTTGCTTGAAGTACACCCCCATGAGCGGAAACAAAGAGCCGAAGGCGGAATAGAAGAAGAAGTAGAAGGTCTTCACGGTGAGGAGCTCCTGATCGACAGCGCCGAACAGATATTCCAGGATGTCGCTCTTGCCGCGGATCTTGTGCGTGGCTTCCTTCGCCTGGGGATACAACTCGGGATCGACGATACCCTCCGCCTGCGGGTCTACCATCGGCCTAGCGCCCGGAACTTGCGGAACTTGCGGCAGATTTCGGTTGGTCGGCTGCCCGGACGCGTCGCCTTGCACCCCATAATCGTAATCCTCGTGTCCATAGTTCTGCATACTTTCCCGTACGCGTTCTCGCGCCGAGTTTGGACTCGCTCTCGCGACGAAGGGTGTTTCTTCTTAGGCTATCCCCGACGGCTACCACGACGGAAACGTCGTTGTCGTCGTCGTCGTCGTCGAGCGTAGTAGTTCGCTGTTTACGAACGCGTCGCGAACGAAAGATCCGCTCGCGGAGTCCCGGCCGAGTCCTTCTCGTTTTTCGCTCCTCGGGGACCTCTTCTGCACGGTGGATCCTCTGATTAGATCGACTGTCAAACCGGTGCTCGGTACCTTCGTAGCGAATCGATGTTGGACCGTATGGGGCAGCTTTGCTCACCCAAAATCGATAAACATGTTACTGCGCCGGCGTAACTTTTACCCTCTCACCCGTCTCCACCACATACGGTAGTGTCTTCAATACCATATCAGTGTTGATAGATGTGATAGGTAGTTCACGCATGCGTGATAGTAAGAGATCAACATACATGAGTGATTTTGTTGGGATGCAAGTCCGACAAATAGATGCGATCATAGATTAAATATAGATAAGTGCAGCATTAAGGTACGATAAACATAAAAATATATATATTCGGGTGGAGGGTGTCCCAGAACAACCTCCGAAGCTCTCATGGAGGCATAGTACGGATTGAGATAAATATAAGAGTCTTGTACTACAATTAATTTAAACTAATAAAATTTATAATTAATTTAAACAAAATTGGTGGGGATGGTCGCTTGCGATAATATATTAATGTTCTCTAATTAATAACTAAAAATCTATAAAGTTATTAACAAAAAGGTAGAGGACTTTTTTGTTCAGTTTGATCTAATATACAAGCACACGACAGCAGATGTCGCCACTACAGCTCATCTACCACATTTCGCGTGATTATTCACAAATTTTGTTTAATAAATATCTCGATAATTATTGCGAATATCGCAAAATAATTTGGGATTTTTATTGTTTATTTTAATCCGTACTATCCTTCCACGAGAGTTTCGGAGGTTGTTCTGGGACACTCTGTGTATATACACTGAAAAAAATTTACTAAATTTCAAAAAACGTTTGTTTGAATAGTACTGTGTAAAGATATTTGTTTAAATTAAGTAATTATTTTCTAAAATTAAAGAAACAAATTTATATTTAAAACTTCTTTATTTAATTTCAGAAAATAATTACTTAATTTAAACAAATATCTTCACAGTATTATCCAAACAAACGTTTTTTGAAATTTAGTAAATTTTTTTCTCAGTGTATATAATATATTTGGTAGAAGTATATACATAATATTATATATATATATATATCCAGTAAGCAAATTGAGCGCAGACTGCGCGCAGATTGGCAGCGAATTTGATCAAAAACCCACAGCAAAACCATCTGTGTCTACATTAGGCTACGGTTTTGACGACAGATCTTGCTGTCGGACAATTGATGCCAAATTTGCAGCAAAAACCGCGCAAAGCTTGCAGCGCAGCAAGGTCTGCGCGGTTTCTGCTGCCAATCTGCCGTCAAATCGCTACAAGCTCTGCGCGGCTTTTGCTGCAAACTGCAGCAATTATCCGACAACAAGCTCTGCCGCATATCTGGCGGCAATTTGGCAGCAAGATTTGATATAACAGATCCTGCATCAAATTTGTTATCTATTTGCCATCAAAAGTTGATAGCAAGCTCTGCTCGAAATCTGTTCGCGCAGGTTTGGCTACTGGGTATATATATACACACACACACACACACACATGTGTGTACATACTAATATCCTATAAAAACTAGCGTTCATGTACATTTCTGAATTTCTTACTACTTCAATGCGCATGCGCGAACTACCTATCAACACTGTGTCATATCGACGTGTGTAGAAATCCTTTCGGCAGGTGCTATTAATGTTTGCCTTCTAATTTCGTTAGCAAAATCGCCACAATTTGTCGTATCTCTCTCTTTTTCATTTGCACCATTTATTCGCGTTTCACGCATTTTCTAGTCTAATGAAGTGTCAGAGTTTCACACAAAGCAAACGATAGTTTGGCAATAATTGGGCACTGTATTTGGAGTTTGAAGAATTCAACGAAACGTGTGGGATGATGAGGATTGTATTGCGAATCGGAAACTTCTACCACGATCTCGAAAACTCTCGTCGGTGCGCGACGTACTATAACGCAGTCTCGTTAAAGATTATCTAAGTTTAAAAGAGAGAATATACACACGTATGTATTATTAATTTTCCAACTCGCTCGAAGAAAAAGCTTCGGTCGAGAATATCTCATTCCATATTCTCGATTGATTCCTTTTTCACGAAGAATCGCCTTTTAAACGCCGTATTTCGCGAGTCCCCCTGTACACGATGTCTAAAGAACTTTGGAGTAGAAGCAAAAAGGAACGCCCGACATTTTTATCGGAAGAGAATAAATAGTATTGCGTTTTATTGCATCGTCATGTCACTTGATAAATAAATTATAAATTGTGTGATTAAATTAAGTTGTACGATTAAATAATTCGTATTCGTATATACAACAATTCGCCCTGCGGCGTATCTTCGACAACGTGTAGCTTTTAAATAGTCTTGAGTATTAAATCCTTGTGCGATTGCGTGGAGCTCGCGGTCGACGAGGGTGCAGTCTTAGGCGGTCCTTGAAACATGCAGGTCTTCGCCGTCTTCAAGAGACGACCGTTGTTCGCGGTTCGCCAATAGACCGTGCGAACCGCCTGCTTTCCAGCGACGTAGCTAACTGCACCACCGATCAGCATCTGCGAATAAAATGTCGCACCTTTCAGGGATGTGCTTCGAACACCTGACATGAGAGATGATACAGTGAACTATATATTAATGAGGAAATATTGTTGAGAGTGCGTGAAAATGAGAAAATACCATGTTTGCCGGAATAAAATCGAATACAGACGTTTCGTAGTTGGAGGAACATAATATTCAGTTGAACTTTAGATGATCTGTTATTTACGACGGAATTCTACTTAATAATTTTGCGTGCTCTCTGTGACACGAAAGATATTTTAAGACTTATACATATGCATAACATGTATTAAATTTCCAGTGCATACGCTTCTAAAAGTGACGCTGATTTCTCGACTGTTTTTTTGACAGCGTGATTCGCGAGTGACAGATTCTCTAAAATGAAATTCGACATGGGATCATGTCGCGAATTAACAGAATGTCGGGGACGGTTTTTAGTAGCAAGCGGAGTGAACAGAACGAAAAGAATCCGTCGATCGAGTTCGACAGATCTCGAAAAGTGCTGGTGACCAGCAAGAAGAACAGACTTACCTTGCGTGTGTGATGTGATCTGTATATACTGGAGATCCGACTAGATTCGTTGTTGTATATAACCTCGAGAGTTATATTTCGGAATATCAAAAGCTGATATTACGAGTTCGTTCGGCGCTCTCTCTACCTCATCTGTGCAGGCGGAGGTAAAGAACTCGAACTGATGCCGAGTCGCCGGTCGTCGGATATTTTATATACGTTACCCACGACGTCACAAGTCACACCGCGATAAGAAGCACACGCGTCATTCGCGACAATCATTGTTGTCTCGTTTCTCGGGAGCAGAATATTTTTCTCTTGGACGGATGAGAGGAGGATTTCGATAACAACGACACGTGCATGCCCCGCGACTCTTGTTTCGTAAATTTATCAAGTTCCCAACGCGATTGGTAAACAGACCGAGTGACGCAACGTGAACGAAAAGTCAACAGTCCGAAATATGAACTATGTACTACATTATAACTGCACGATAGACGAAACTGACGTCTGTCACTGCAGTTTGACGCAAAATCGTTAATGATAACGCGCAACGACGCGGATAATTCGCAGCGCGATTACGGGTTAATGAGAGTAACAAAAAGTTATGCGCGTCACACCGGCATCGGTCGTCGACTTATCGCTATCGAATAATACAAATGATACACGAAATAAAAAGAAAAAATGCAATTTCAAAGAAATGCAATGAATTGCAGGGAATCTATAGGTTTGTTCGAGTTGCTTGTACTATTCACACTTTTACACCTAATGCCCGTTGCACACTAGTGCACCTCATACAATACAAATTTTCCAAAATACGTTCTGAAGACGCTTTTAGGACGGAGGGATGTCATCAGAATATTTTTAGGACGTCCTTTGAAGATGTGAGCTGTCTGAAAATAGCTAATATCCAATAAGTTTATTCGCATTAATTGAACTTTTTACACTTCCACGCATTTAGTGCACATTAATTCTTTAGAGGTTCTAAAAATGACGTCATGACTTCCGTTCGTGTTACAAGAGTAATTGTAATTTTGATACACTTTTTACACTTGATCCCAAGCAAGAGTGAAAAGTGTATCAGAATTGTATTTACACTCGTAACACGAACGGAAAACATGACGCCATTTTTAGAACCTAAAGAATTAATGTGCACTAAGTGTGAAAGTGTAAAAAATTCAATTAATGTGAATAAACTTATTGGATATTAGCTATTTTCAGACAATTCACACTTTCAAAGGACGTCCTAAGAATATTCTGATAACATCCCTCCGTCCTGAAAACGTATTCAGAATGTATTTTTGAAAATTTGTGTTGTTTGGAGTGCATTAGTGTGCAACGGGCATTAGGTGTAAAAGTGTGAAAAGTACAAGCAACTCGAGCAAACCTATTATTTTATAATCGCTCTTTTCTTCTCCGTTTTTTACGTATCTTTATGACGAGTTTTCAAATTAAGAAAAAAATTAAACTAATAACTTGCAATTAACTTTGTAAGACGTAATTCTTCTTGATTTAAAAATCGTTAATTTCTTATTTCATATCAATCATTAATTCGAAACTTATCGATATTTTTATCGCAAACGTTTTGAAATTCCGAAAAATGATTGGAAAATTTGTAGTCTTGTGGACATTAAGTGATTCTGAAGTGCTCTGCGCGTGTATATGTGCGTGTTGCTTTATCTTATGAAATATTCCTTTAGTGCGTAAAAGCGATCCATAGTGGCATTGGCGGAAAGTATGCGCAGTGTCGTCGTGCTGGCTGTTATGAATCAATTGGGAACGTCGATCGTCTCGAGTGGAGAGTGCAAAAAACACAGTGACGCACGGATAAGAGAATGCACAGCCGCGGCTCACGTGAAACTCCCGTGCTATCGTAAACGAGAGCGACGTTAGAGCGACGTGATACGCGATCACTAATCCCGATAAGAAATCTTATGCGTACAGCGTCGAGTAGCGAAGCGAAGTCCGGAGTACGATGGTTTCGTGCGTCTTCTGACTAATCGCTCGGAAAGTGACTCGAAGCGGAACACACGCGCGATGCACGTGTAAATTTCGCGCGATAACGATCAAGCGAATGAAAAATAACGAAGAAGTCTGCTCGAGATCGTAATTGTTAATTGTTTGTAAGGAAATTTCGTGCAACTTACGGACTTGTTTACGCGCCTCACGCTCGAAGATCTCTCAAAATCTCGAGTATCTTGAGAACGCGAGATGTTGTGGAATATTTATTTGACAATCCCGCTTTGTTCGCGATATCGGCGACTTAAATTCAGTCCGATGAGATCATCACTGGACCGATAATCAGGTGTACACACCTTGCAGCGGGGAAATCACGATGTGATCTTGCTGGTATAATGTTTATCGCTTATGTTACTGCTCATTCAGCTTGATAAACGTGTCATTGTTGGGCGTAAAATATTCCTACCTACCACTCTCGATACATTATCAGTCCTCGTGGAAAATCCCCTTGAAAGGCCAGACTTTTAAGTCGAGAACGACAAAATTCAAAAGGTCGATATGTGTAACTTGTTATCATCGTCGCGCTTGTTATGCAAAGGTACTAGCTGAAAATTGATTTTCACGCTTCTCTCAACTGACGCTGATTTACAAACTTATGTACGTTAAGAGAAGCGACGATTGTCTGAGACGCATAATATGCAGATTTATTTTTCTACTTCAACATAATCTTGTACCAGAGCAGTTATATCGTCTCGAGCATCTTCGAAAACACTCTCCTCCATACCTTCGGCTAGATAGTGATGGAAGAAGGCCTTCCTCCTGCACATTGCGTCAAATTTATTTACGAGCCTCGACCAAACGTACCTAATGGCTGTATTGTTGCTCAACGTCGCGACAGTTTGTCTGGACTTTGCCAGATCGCCACCAGGAACTGTGACAGCTGGTTGGGGATTGATTCCCACCTGAAAAGCGCAGGAAGTTCCTGTAATCTATGCCCAGCCTAGCGAGAAATGACTTGTCGATTGATGTCGAAACGATGTTGACGATTTTGACATCGAGTCGTTTCAACGTCGATCGACGAGTAATTTTTCGCTGGGAGAGAGAAACAATAGAGGTTGCATTAACGTGACAATGACGTAACTAAGTGCGTTTTGCTTGAAGGAAATCGAATTTCTAATTCTTGAAAATCAAGTTTGCTTCATAAAGCTTTCGGTCCTTCGTCGCGAAATTTTCGATCGATGATGTCAGAAGCGAGAAAGCGCATGCCCTAAATTCTTGCGTGCAATTTTCAAATAAAAAGATATTTACACGGAAGAATACTTATCAGATCGTTTATAAGAGCTATCATATTTTCTTGAATTAACAGTCAATAAATAGCCGTAAAATTAACAAGACATGTATGAAAGAAAAGTTTGATTGGATTAATCAAATTTCTGGTAAAAAATACAAACGAACTAGGAAATTCCGATTTAAATTGCCAGAATTCAGTTCAAATTAACCAGAAATCTTGTTAACTCGAGCAAAATTTCGGTAATTTCAATTGGAATTTTTGCTTTGTTCATATTTCATCAGGAATTTGGTTAATCCAAACTTTTTTCCGCAACCTTCCTGTTTAATCTACTGTTTCTCATGATTCTGTCGCGTTAATTTTATGGCTGCTTCTTGACTGTTAAAGGAAAAGGGTAGTTTTTAGAGCATTTCACGAATATATTCAAATGATCCGAAGTGTTCTTTCATTTAGACGTATTTTTACCTGAAAACGGCAGATAAGAATTTTAAGCGTGACATTTCCTTGTCATAACGAGCGACAAGAATCAGAAGTTTCTTTCAACAACAAAATACGTTTAATTGTTATTATCACGACAATTCAACCAACATATTTTGCTCTATGCAAACATCGGCGCGATGACGCAGTCTGATGATATTGCGCACAAAATTGTTACACGGAGAAAAATAATTTTGCTCTTTTAATAAAATCGCCGTTGCTACTGCATATTCGTAGTGACATCAAAAAAATTTAGTTGACATAACTAATCTTACAAATTATTCGTTATCAGAGCAGAAGTGGTTCGTTGCCAGGATAGAAAAAATTTGTTGAGTATATTTGTCCTAAGAATTACGTTAATTTGCTATTGATGCAAAATAATGTATCTTTAGCAAATTTATTTGCTATCGGAGCAAAACTGTAACTGCTTATGTAAGTCCATCATGATTCTTGTAGCAAAATAATTTGTAGATTCAGAAAATTATATCCAGCAAATAGTACTCTTAGCAAATCTTTTTGTTGTCCATATAATAACGAAAAGATTTTGCTAAATCAGCAGAAAATTTGCTGAGCCAGCAAATTATTTTTCTCCGTGTACAGATTCCTACCCCTACGTTTTGTCCACAATACTTGTACCTTGAAAGAGGTCGGGCTCCAGTCGACAAAACGTATGGACCTTGTGGCCTTTAAAGACTTAACCGCGTTGCTAACGTCCTTAGAATTCACGTCTCCGCGGTAGAGCAGGCAACAGCTCGTATAAGCTCCGGTGCGTGGATCGCACTTCACCATCTAGAAAGATCGATCAAATGCGTAAACTCGCTATTGTCTAACAATCGAGCGTTGACGCTTCTCTCTTGTGCAATTTCTTTTCGATCTGGTTTAAGAGGATGCTGAAGCTGAAAACTTTACCGACAGAATACTCCCAGTAAGCAAGAAATTATTATTACAATGATATTCAAGAACCTATAATATTGTCAAATATGTAGTGTTTAATATTGTATCAAACATCATTATAAACATACTTTGACTGCGATTTGGAAGATTCAATAATGTTGAAATAGGATTGCCATAACGTTTTAATCGTCAGAAATATTTTTAAGATGTTGTATTGATCTCAAATAAATGTTAAAGTAACATTTGAAAAATATATTTTTTATGTTTTTAAAACGTTTAAACAACATTCAAAAAAATCATATCACAAAATAACATGTGAAAAATATAAATGCAATATTATTAGAAAATGTCCAAACAATGCACATGAAGTCAACGTTTCTAAACGTTACTTTAATGTTCTTTGCTGACTGGGCTGACATTTTTTTGCAAAGTTTATGTCGTATTACACAGAATTACAAATGCTTTTACGCAATGAAAGTATGTGCAAAAATAAATAGGAGCTTTGTTCGATATGTGACGAAAACGAATAAAAATTTTTTTAATGTAAAATCTTAAGCTGTCAGTTAGCGTAATATTTGCCTAATCCAAAAGTTCCGCAGCTTGTACATATCGAAAGCATGGATTTTGAAAGTGTGGAAATTTTTCTTCAAACAGAAAAATTTTGAAGAACATTACTCTACCTTCGCATCTGCATTTGGAAGCTTAAAAATATCGAAAAAATTTGCAGAAAGATTTCTACACATACATGGATAGGTTTTCCGTTGAATATGGTAAAACAAAGCAACACACATTCATGTAAGTTCAGTATATACAAGAAATACGAAAAGGATAGCGTGATTATGTTAGTGACGATCGTCTCTGCATTATCGACATTGTTCGAGTTCGTCATCGACTCCAGCATCTCCTTAAGTCTACAGAAACACCGGGACCAAGTTGCGAATTGAGTTGACAACAGCACGAAATCGAATTACTTGATTAGTAGGCTCGAAACATTCAAACGTAATTTGCTGAACCGACACGTTTGTGTGCATCGCTTTCTGGGGGGTAGTCATCGGCGCGTAAGCCATTAACAGAAAATGTATTCTCGGGTATGGCACGAGATTTGTTTGCAACTCTTGCAGACTGGTGTTCACATCGGCCCTGAATCTCATTGATGTGGTGATGCTAGAAACAACCTGTGCCTGCAAGCGGTTGAGATTCGTGTACGTTGGATTCTCGACGTCCAATCTCCTGCAAAGGACTCAATAAAGTTCTGTAGTGTAAAGACTTTATTTAGGTTTAGCTCTATAGGGTAGCGCTTTGATTGGACGACATTTATCACAATACTATTATTAACCCGAAGGCTTCGATCGTCGCACCTAGCGCACATGTCGTACAACGCCTCGTTATCTATCACGAAACAGCAATCTTCGTGATCCAGCGCACCGTGTGTGGCGAAAATAGAATTGTAAGGCTCGACAATCGCAGTGGCAATATTTGGCGCGGTGCAAACGGCAAAGTCCAACTTCGTTTTCTTAGCGTAATCTTCGCCGAGATTTTCCAACAGTAAAGTCGCGAAACCACTGCCCGTGCCACCGCCGCACGATCTACAGATTTACGACTCCGCTATTTACACGCGTGCTAACTTGGAAAAAAATAATTTGCTGCAGCAGCAAACTAATTTGCTACATACAGTTAAATATTCGTTGTTATCTCCTTTTTTTCGCTACAGGCGACTTTCTTGCTATGATAACGAGAAAATCTGCTTCTACAGCAAAAAAAGTGACGTAGCAATTTTGTTACAGAATTAAACATAATTTACTGCTTTAGCAATTTTTTTGTCGCAGGAGCAGATTTTCTTGTTATCATAACAAGGAAATTGGTTCCTGCAGCAAAGAAAAAGTGACTAGAAAAATACAGCAAATTATGTTTAGTTGTCCATATGTAGTAGATCTTTTTTTTCCGTGCAATGAATATAAAAATATATAGAAAACCCAGATAGAGCATAGAGAATTCAAAAAGAATTCAGTTATATCACCAATTCTGAGTTCATTTTCAGATGCAAAAAGAATTCTTCAGAGTTCAGTTCAATGAAAAGAATTCTTTTTGCACCTAAAAATAAACTCAGAATTAATGATATATGACTGAATTCTTTTTTAATTCTCTGGGAAGTGTTCCCTGTGCTATTACAATCGTATCGTTTTAAAGTCAAACGACGAAGAAGCAGAATGACAGAATTTCACGTTTGTCAAATTGCAAGCACCTACCTATAGATTATAAAGCCACTCAAATTCGAACAGTTTTCGCATATTATGCGGATACGATCTAACGTGATGTCAATCGCCTCGCGACCGATCGAGTAGTAACCCTTGGCGAAATTGTTCGCGGCATCTTCCTTTCCCGTGATTAAACATTCCGGACCGAAAAGGTTTCTGTAAGAGCCAGTCCTGATCTCATCGATCACCGTTGGCTCCAAGTCGATCAGTACAGCGCGCGGTGTGAACTTCCTCGTCTAAAGAATTGTTAAGTCTAAAGTATTCTTTCGCACCAGTATTCATCGTCGATCGACTGTTTTATAATCTCGCGAAAGTGTGGATTTAAAAATCATATATTGCGTAAGTGTGTTATGCATATTGAGTATATTATATAATTGAAGGAAAAGTCGACAAAGGGAGAAACAATTTTCTTCAAACACGAGATAAATAATATGAACAAAGAAATATACACATATTCTCACTTTTATTTTTCTGAGAAGTGCAATGGTAATACAACACTATACAGTATTGCAAATTAGTTCGAGTGTACGACAGATGTTTCAACTAATGTCCAATATTATACAAGCGTAAAATCTTGGAGAATCTTGAATGTTTATCGTACACCTGGAAGTTGGAGTTTACCTGCGACGGTGAGAAGAATGCGCAATACGCATCATCCGATGGTCTATATCCCGCATAAAGAAATCCATCGGATCTAATTCCATGCTCGAGGCAAAGTAATTCCCAGCAAGCGTTTGAGATCTGCGTTCCGGCTTGCCCCACGGAGATCGTAACTGCCTCACGATAGGTACTCATTGAGCCATGTACTGTATTTTATTTATCTCACAACAATACACGACACATGACTTTCGTGTTAAATGTTAAATGTTCTATGATAAGTTGCCTTGAATGTACGATACATGATAATTTGATATTACATATTTTTCCTAAAGAATTGAACAAGATTCATGCAAAATTTCTCTTAAATAGACATTTCAGATGATTAATAGATGTTCATTTGTAATACTCGAGACCAAATACGTAAAAAATTTCGGAAATGATATGTAACCAAGTTCACATCACTAGCTGTCGCAGAGATTAATGTAAAAGTATCAATGCCTGGACATGTACCTTAATTCTAGGCATTCGTACTCTTTTGGTCCTTAAATACGAATCTTTTTATTTAATAAAAAAAAAATATATATGCACATATTAAATATGTACATATATTCTATGTTATAAATGTTATATGTACATATATTCTATGTTATAAATTTAAACATTTACATATTGAAACATACTGAAAGACCAAACTAATAAGAATGTATAGGATTAGATATGCAGGAAAATTGGCACTTTTAACTTACATATTAATTTATACCAAAATTTCGAGATCAAGTTAAACTTATTCTTCTAACTTGTTTTGTTGCATTATAGACATAGTTCTTCATACTTGTTTTGTCACATTATACACATAGTTTTTCATACTTGTTTTGTTGCATTACACACATAGTTCTTCATGCTTGTTTGCATTATACACACAGTTCTTCATTATGTAAGTTAAGCACTTCTCATAATATTATGATCAAACTTTACAATGAACAATAATTCAAACATTAATTACAACTCAAATTCTCTTCCATTCTCTCTCAGCGCTTCAAAAACAACTTTTTGAAGCATATTTTGATTACCATTTATGTACAATTAATTTGTAGAGAGTTTATGAGGATGTAAAATCAAAGAGTGGCATTTCAAGAGGTGTCAGTGGTGGCAATGGCGCAAGATGTAAGGGATGCTCCTCTGATCTGATACCATCACTGGGATTAACGGCATAGAGACGTTCCGTTAATTGGCGTACTTCCTCCTCTTTGGCTTCCAATTGACTAAGTAAATTACCCACGAGATCTCGCAACTGTCCATTGACAGTTCTAAGTTCCTCTATAATGGTGCCAGTGTCTTTTGGATGTTTGAAGGCTTTATCATCGCTATTTATCGGTATAGATATCAAACCCAAAAGGCTATCCTGCTCGTCGATAGTTTTGTATATTGCTTGACGTAAAGAACCAGTGTACTTATGGAGCCTTACATCCTTATTATCCTTGTTATCCTTCTCATTATGTTTAGTCATTTGCTTGAGAAGAAAATCTTTCTGCTGATTGTCCAAAGTTGTTTTATATTCCTCATATTGTGCTTTCTTCATTCTAAACAGAAAAAAATTTTGCAATAACACAAGGTTATGTGTAGTTACTGCATAAGGCGATACACAGTTCGTGATATTACATACCTGACGACAGCAGCCTGTCTTCTGTGATAGTCTTCTTGCAGTCTAATGGAATCTATACACTTGAGCAGTTTAAGTGGTGCACAGAGCAAATGAGCATTATGTAAAGACTTAAGATCTGGGAAAAGTTCAGTCACAAGTTCTGCGTAAGCCTGTGATAAGAGGTCAGCCACTTCTTCATGGCACTTGGCTGCTTCTTCAAATTTTCCCTCACGCAACAATACCTCTGCCCTTCTTTCTTTCTCGTGTGCCTTGTGTCAAAGATATTGATCATATGTTAATTTTATTAAAGATGTATTTAATATACAACAAAGAGAAAATACGTGTGCATTAATAATTCTCTTGTGACATCTTTTTATGTATTACTTTCTCCGTCTTATTTACCGGGGTAATGCGTGATCACGATTCTTTTGTTCTTTAATACGTGACAGAAAGAAAAACAACCTATTAGCAGTACGAAACAGTGCTCACTAGATTCAAGGCAGAATTCTCCATGATACATCGGGGAAAGAATGAATTATCCTTAGTATTGTTTCTCCGGTACCCAAAATCACGGTTTAACCATGCTCTCTTTTTTAACCATGCATCGACTTCTTGTCTTATCTGACGCAGAAACTTAAAAACCTTGCTATTGCCAAAGGCTGCTCGTTTCGTCATGTCAGAATCAGATGTTAAATTTTTGTCTCTTTCTCTCTCTTTCAATTACTTGCCCAGCAGTTTGATAGAGGCTAGAGACCCTTAAGTAAGAATCGGATCAATACTTCTGTGTCCACTGATTGGTCCTAGTGCATTTCGATATAATATGGCGGAACCAATGACAACATAAGAATTTTCCGCGCTATTTAAACGTGAAATTATTGAAGTATATAACTATAATTCTGTTTTTTCTTACAATATCTACACAACCAAAATATTCAGAATATATTATAAAGATATCTTAAAGACGTCAAGACATTTCTAACTCCTAATTTCTAATTTATGATTTATTAGTCTTTTATATTCCATTGTTTTAAATAAAATAATGGAGGATTTACACTGCGTCCGTGATGTCCGACGTATGTACGACGTCCGATATCCAATAAAAGAATAACTTCCTAATGGAGAATTGAATTCTCTATTAAAAAACTGTTCTCCTATTGGATTTCGTACGTTGGACATCGGACGCAGTGTGAATCCTCCATAATTTCACGATCGCACATGTCGTCTGCTTATGTCCATTTCTACCAACTTTGGTTAACTTAACTGACTGGTTATTCCGACAGAATTGATCAATCGTACCTGTCAATTCTGACAAATGAGAAATATGATTGGTTAATTCTGTTGGAATAATCAACTGGTTAAGTTAACCAAAGTAAAAATGAATAATTCAACTTGAAGTTTAATAGACGGTGTTTTGTTGTCATGAATTATAATGGCAATAGATGGTTGTATCTATCATATATTTCAGTCCTCAAGGAATTAACCACAGACTTCTATATAACTACTAGATTACTAACTCCCTTATATAGGCCGGTATTCATAGTCGGGTCTTATTTTTAAGACTGCTTAAGTTCATCTTCAGATACTCTGTAGCCAATGAAATGATCCGTTCATCATCTGAAGATAAATTTAAGACGGTCTTAAATGTAAGATCTGATTATGAATACCGGCTATAGTGCTATGTAAAATTGACCCCGAAAAGTATGTATCACGTACGGGAAAAAAGGCATCTGCGCATGCCTGAAACTGGTGTTCCAGAAGAAGAGGGGATATAAATGTAATATGGCCGATGCCGCCTGTTTAAATAATTGTGTACGTACAGAGTGAAAAACGTCAGAGTGAAATACGTTACAGTAAAAAATTTGTAAAAATAAGTGATTGATCAATTGTATACCTATATCAGAGTGCAATAATGCCTAAAACTAAATGCTACATTGTGAATGTTGGACCACCAAATAAGCGTATGCGCGAGATTTTTGTATATATTTTTCGGGGTTACTATATACTGAGTCGAAGTTAGAGCAGTCTAGTAGTATATAAAAGTATGTGGAATTAACACAGAGAGCCATTGCAAATACGCAAAACAAATTGTCACTACATAAAGTCCCTAGAAAACAAATTGGTTGCATTCGCTTTGAGCGCTTACGCGCTGTAAGCGTCATTCTATCTTTATTGTTCATCACTTGCGGGAAGAAGATAGAATTACGCTTACAGCCCCCAAAACGAACGCAGCCATTGTGTCTATGTTCTGTTATTCATTGCTAGTATAGTCCATTTTTATTCATTATTTGATGAGAAAAAAGTGTAGAATGGTTATATTCAGGAAACATAACGATTGAGTGAGCGTCAGATTCATTGAAATATTCATTCAGATCTATCATGGATCTAAAAGAATACTTTAATCAAAGGCAATGATCACGCAATGGGTGCGTTCAGCGAACTCAACAGTTGCACAACAGTTGAGCAATTCGTCAATGTAATCGGTCTAGATTTAGGGATCTAACAGTAAGAACCAATAATCGCTGATTGCTCACTGAGCGCTTTTTCCGTTGAACGCGCCCAATGGTTGCACAACCGTTGTATTTAACAGGCAATATGAACAGGCAATAGGAATACGGATTGGTCAATTATTTCTATTCTCTGTTCCTATTGGCTAATACCTATTCCTATTGCCTGTAGCCTGGCATTGTGTAAGGACTTTGAGTGGCTGATTTTTCTCAAAACCAACAGTCATGATACAAAAATACGTAAATACAATGCACCTGAGCCAAAAAAACCTGAGCAAAAAAAATGGAAAACATTATTGGAGTCCTATACTAAAAAATTTAATTCTAAATCCACTTTTTGTAGACATAAGCAAAATGTAGGGAATTAGCAGTCTAGTAATATACAGATACTGTGGCGCAGCTAAAATCTAATATGGCGTCATTTGCCGGGCAATACAAATTAAAGTTCTCGATTTCAAACGCAATTTTTATTTGAATTAAAATCAAAATATAAGTTCAATGAACGTGATTAACATTAAGATAGCAGGAAGTGAAATTACATTTATCTCAAAATTATTTTAATGTTACATACTCCAATTTCTGGATATTCTATATTACATCAAACGCGTCATGTAAAAATTTTACCCTGTTGTTGCCAGTATTGTTGCTGATAATAATTTAGATATCACAATTTTAAATAACTAGAACACATCATGTTCCTTTGTAACAATCGGCAACATATCTACCAATCTTGTGCACTCGTGCATATGTCTAATAACAATTTTAATAGAATCATTATTGACCGTAACACATAGCACGTAATAAAATATTTAATACTAGAATAGCCAAAATATAACTGAGCTCTCTTACTATGAGACAAAAGGAATTATAGTAAGATCCCAGCGAGAAATAATTCGTCGCTCATACATAATTTATGTATAATCATATGTATATAATTATATATAATTTTATGTATAATTATATATAATAATGTATAATTATATATAATTATGTATAGTTATATATAATAATTTCTCCTCAGGCATTGAATAAATATTTTCTAATTTTTACTTTTTTTTACATTCTTTGATTTTTTATTCTTTGATTTTTATTTTTTTTTATTTTTTCTCTCACGATGTACTTGGATAAACGGTTGATGTGGTGTCGAGGATATCTGGAGCGTCTCTATATAGTCTTTATTATCTCTAATTATGTCTTTATTATTCTTCGAATGGCCCGTACTAATGCCTTGGTAACGCGCGATATTCGGCAATTCATTTGTGATTCTCTTTCAACAAGTTTGCCAAATGTCATAATGAGAGTTGGCGATGATACTTTCTCAATAAATGATGAACATCACGTGATACAGAATAAGTAATGATGTATTTTGGCGGAAATGCGAAATTACCGTCAAACATTCAAAGAGACGTTTACTACCTTTATAGAAATATCATACTAAGAATCATTGATAATTACTTATTTTCAGTATTAAAAATACTGGATAATAAGTAATTATCAATGATTCTTAGTATGATATTTCTATAAGAGTAGCTCGACGCGCAATCATTGAATAATATCGAAATTCAAGGGGTGTGCGCTGAATATTAATGCGATTAAATTATGAGGTAATTATTTTAACAGTGTAAGACGCACACATGGACAATTTTTCCAGCTTTTTCTTACAACTTATTTTGACTGACGCGAAGCGTGGAAATCAGAAAGATTTTGCTCTCGCGCCTGAAAGAATTTTTCATATCGACCTGCATGTACGCAGTCGCGGTATCTTCAGCGATTATTCTATTTCTCGAACCGGCAGTCATGAGAATAACGAAGCAACTCATTCGTTTGCAAGTGTCCATACATTACGGCTTACCGTACGAGAGGAAATATCCTTGTCGTCCCCGACAATTTTCTGTATCACCTACACTTCCTTCTCGAACTTCTGTGCCTCTGGTTCTTCCTGTTCATGACGTGCGGCTTTGACGACTTCTTTAGCTATTACACCTTTCAAATATCCTCAATATTGCGTATCGTCGCTTTCAGACTTGACAATTCGCTACTCGATGACGAGGTCCGACGTCTTTTGAGGGTGACCGTGCAGACGCACAAACGGTTGCTGCAGGGATGCATGTTAGGGATACATGGAGAGAATTTACGAGCCTAGAGTTTTCTGCATAATTCTCATCAGTATCTTGCTCATGCGCTTGTTTATTAACAAGATAAAATCTCTTTTCAAATTACAATTGCTCATAAAATTCGTCGGTAAAGGATGAAGTTTGAATATTCGTTATTTTCACTGTATTCTTGAAAGCACAACAAGCACAACGTTCTACGTCGAATGCTTTACAGCTGTTTTCCACAATGTCGTTACTATCGTTATTAATTCACAGGAACTTACAACAGATTTTGGGCTTATTGAGACTTCTTGATGTCGTTCTGCTTTGAAACGATGAGAATTATGTAAACGTTTATGTGTGCCTGGTACAGCGCCGCCATCACCAGCGAGGTGAGTGTCGACAGTCTTCGCAAAGAAGCGTCAGGCCGTGCGTCCTTGACGAGTCTTTTGAGCATATTTTAGAGAAGCGTCGAAACGACGTAAATACCCGATGGTTCATCCTTGCAAGTCGATGATGCAAGTCTTATTTCGTTCGGTTTAGAGCGAAAACTTTCGGCAAGAAGTGTTCGATACCCTTATAGAAATATCATACTAAGAATCATTGATAATTACTTATTTTCAGTATTAAAAATACTGGATAATAAGTAATTATCAATAATTCTTAGTATGATATTTCTATAAGGGTAGCGCGTGGTTAGACGCTACTGGTGAACGGAGTGTAAAGACGCTCGTAATAAGCTCTAAATCGACCATCGAGTTATTTGAATTTGAGTGATTTTCACTCATGTAGAGCGAATTTTTCCTTAGAATGAATCGTCAAGGGAACATTTTCCCTCGAAGTTGAACATAGTGAGTCTATTATCGTCACAGGATCATATACATTTTATTATGATTGAAACGTTTGCTCATACGAAGTCAGAATCCACTTTGAGCTTGAGTGAAACATTTATTATCATAATTTCAAGTAGCAGCATTTCTACTGTCGTTTCGAGTGAAAATACGTGACTTTCCACTTGTTTTGAATAAAATTTCATTCCCAAAAACTGAGAGAGCGCACTAGCGCGTTTTAAACGTTATAATTCGTAGTATTAGCAAAGGACAGAACTTACTGTTCCTGCAGAATAAAAATAGATCCTCCTCTCAAACAATCGATCAAAAGCTCT